ACCGGCAAGCTCCAGGTGAGCGACCGGCAAGCTCCAGGTGAGCGACCCCAATTGGTGGAAGTTTTAAGGTTAATGTAGACTCTTGATTCATAAACCCCCCATATGAAGAGGATATCCAATTCAAATAGGGAGTTATTATATAATCAAGAGATATCAAGAGTCTACATTAGTTATCGTTGATGGGGGATTGCTAGCGTTTTTCTTTCTCATCTATTGCCTGAGAAACCAATGAACGATTTCACATGCGCGTTTTTGGGGCGTTGTTGGGGATCAGACAAAAAATGCCAAAGCCTAAGCATCTGCCTGCGCTGGTGAACGCTTCTTGGACGGGATTCAGCAAGGCAATCGCTTTTGGAGGCCCTTGTTTCGAGCCACAACCACACTTTCAACATAGCATAGCATAACTGAACATACCGGTATACCCACAAGAAGATTCAAAAACTGGATTCAAACTGGCATATGGCTTTGGGGGGCCTACCTCTTTTTCAGGTTTCGGCCAACCTCCCTAAACTCAACTCTCTACTAAAGTGGCGCGGTCATGGTTGCTGTTGGCGGTTGTGACGTGTGGCAATCTGGGAGCGTGGGAGGGTATCTACCAGAAAACTTCTGGCTTGCTGAGAGGACTTAGGTAGGTGCGGGGTCAGCTTTGACCCCACGCGTGGTAGTCGCCAAATGAAATAGTTTCCAAATGTTTCCAATACATGTTTGGTGGGGATCTACTTTTCTATCTCTTTAGAGACCACTTATCAAGGCTTTGCTGAACTTATCGAGGACGCAGGACGCATGGACATGCATGGCCCCAGACAGACCCTCTGCTGAACTCCTGTATGCGACCCCAACAAACATCCAAACAAACGACCTACAATTCACAGTTCTGAAGAACCACTTGTGCACACTACTTGTGCCATGTACCCAGGCTCCAGGCTTCAAAAGTTTGATGCTGGCCCTGGAATACAAAGACCCCGAATCAATGCGCCAAACAAAGTTAGGGACAAAAACAAAGGATGCAACTTCCCAGGGTGACTCAGAACATACTCCACCACACACCACCCAAATCCTTCGCAGTGCCCAGAAGTCCAACGGGCCCCAGCCACATCGCACCACATCATACTGAAGACCCCACGCTCGTCACCCCACGCTCGTCACCTGTTTTCCGGCCGCGGCACTCAGCCACTTCGCTCTGCACCTTGTGGAGCTCCGCCTCCGCCTCGGCCAACTCCCCACGCGCCTTCTCCAGCTTGGCTTCTTGCACCTGACAAACAGCTGGAGAGAACCGGAGAACAAGCCGGGTCGAGTCCACCCTGTAGATCCTACCGCTACCGTACTAGATAGTACTAGTGTCAGCTTGACCTCATTGAGCTGGAGTGACCATCATGCTGCAGGATGAGGTTTTCAGGACCAGGTTTGCACCTGGACTAGGTCTGGGATGTTCGGGACATCTGCGAACCCGTTCCAAAGCGGAGGTCAGCGGAACACCGAGGGTATACCGCGCGAGCGCGGGCGACGTGCCTTCAAGAAGTCCATCTTGGGCTTCACGATCTTGGAGGCTTCATGGTACATCACCTGGAGGGAAGGCAAGGCTCCAGAGGTGGCAAGGGCCTAGCTCTGGACAGCGAAAGAGATGGAAAAAGTGGAATGTCCACTTTTTAGAATGTATTGGAAACCGTGCCGCTATCTATTGGGGACCACTATGCATGACCTTGGCCCAACTTCCCTGATGATCCTGATGGTGCAGGAAGAGTTTTACGATGTTGTACGACATGGTGACTGAATAGGAACCACATGCAGGGCCCATGGATCTGGTCTGCAATGTGTGGCATGATGGTGGTCCAATCTGCGAGACGGGAGACGGGGGAGTCCTTCAACCCATGGTTTTGGAACCCAAACCATGGGTTCCAGCGCTGGTCGAACTCGCTTGGGTGTTCAGCGCCGGTCCGGTCGGCACCAACCAAACAAAGCCCCACAGGAAACACTGCGCAAGGCATTGGCATTGAGGACCTGGTAGGTGACCGGTCACCTTCTTGAGGACCACAGTGTGAGGAGGGGCTAAACGTGGCGAGAATTCGAGAACACGATCACAGTGGTTTCACCCTCCGTGTGGGTTGGCGATTTCCCTTTCGATTTCCCCAACTAGACTCTCCAAAAAGTGGGGATGGATTGTCCAAACCCAGTTCCCATCTTCTCCTTCTGAAAGGGGCTCGGGTTCGAGGATTCTGCGACCAGCTCTGCAGCTGAGACGCCATGGCACCCACGAACTTACAGAGCCCCTCAGCAGCTGCGTTGGCTTTCTTGGCCAAGCTTTGATCCAGCACCTCAACGGAGAGTGCGTCGAGATCTTCTAAGAAATGAGATGCACCTTTATAGCCTATTAATATGTACGAATTGTATCATCATATAGTAATATAAGTAATACATATATACGGCAACTATAGCTAAACAATGATAGAATCATATAGAATACATTCCAGTCATTTCCTGTCCCATTGGCCTCCATTTCTCGCGCAAGAAGCAACAGGTATCAAAGGGTTCAACACATGTAGAACACGTGTTCTTTTCGTTGATGTCCAGCGGAATCCTGGCACGCCGGCTTTTTCGTTGCCAAGGGGCAGCGTGTTTCCAAGGGCCCCAGCTCTTGTTGGGATCCGGGTCGAAGCGCAAGTAGGGCTCGATGAGCTCGCAGGTCTCATCATTGATGGTGTCGCGATCATTCTCCGCAAACCTCAGCGCAGGCCGCGAGGAGGAAATCTGTTCGGAAGAATCAGCCCGGCCATTTTTAAGGCGGAGCAGCGTGTCACAGCTGGGCCGCGTTGTGGGAGTTGCGTTGAGGCACATAAAGCACACGTCAAGAAACTTGGGTGATGCTGATGTTGAAACATTGTGAGTCCAAGGAGCTTTTACAGGGTTTTCAGAGTGAATGGCACGTAAATGGCACAAAGCCCAGATGTCCTTTCGATGGGGTTTCATATACCTCCTAACTTGGAGGCCCTTTTGTGTCATCTACTCTCAATCCAAGATGTTAGCTTCCTTTGAAGGGCCCCACCTCTTGAGGTTCCTCAAAAAGTTCATGTCGTTCAACACAGCCTTCGCATGCTCATCGAAGGAATCCTGCCAAAGATGTGAGCGACGGACTGTGCAAAACATGTGGGTGGACTGTGCAAGTAGCCGAAACATGTATTGTAATGTTTTGGTTGATTTAATAGTGGTGATAGAAACCCGATAAACACAAGAATGCTCAAATTGTGTGCGCTATGCATGGTATATCTCTTTTTCCGACCCCTGGTTTGGATATCATCCCCAGTTGAGCTTGGTTTCTGCTTCCTGTTGTCCTCTTTGCGTGGCAAACGCAAAGTGGCATGGCAGGCCAGCATGCTTTGCACCCGGAAAGATTAACATGGAACCTGGAGATGGACCTTTGGATGACGCGTTTCCTCTACAACAATAAGGTGGTTCTGGGTTTGCGTGTTAGTCTTCCAGAGTGTAGATTTCACATGATGCTTCACAGAAGTTCTGGGGCTGCTCCAATGGCGTCCTTCCCCAAAATACATGATGCATCCCCATGTCGTGAATCTTGCCTCGCACCACGAGGCAAAACACATCAAAGGATGGACGGGGATGGGCGGGGTATGTTGCTGTATGTTTGTATCCACTCCCTTTTCAGAGGGAACAACTCGCTAACTCGCCCACCCAAAACTCCTGGCGAGGTTCCCTTGGATGAGGAAGGTCTCACTCAGCACCCGAGTCTCGCCTGCGTCCAACCCTCGGTCCTTGATGAAGGTGCCTGAGACCTTGTTGATGAGCTTGTCTTCCACCTTCACCTCTGTGACCTTGTGCCCCATCAAGAGCAACAAACCGTCGAAGGTCAATTTCACGATGTCCACGGGAGCCTTGTTGCCCTTCAGTTCCACGATGTCCTGTTCGGAACGCGGAGGGCTTGGGGAGGCTGCGCCCCAACTCCGATTTACACGAAACATCCAGAAACCAGCGAAAGAACAGTAGCCACTGTATGCTCTTACAGCTTGTGTCTTTTTGGTCTTCCTTCCTGGACATCTTCCATGGTGTCCAACGAGTGCTCCTACCTAGCTCCACCATCTTGTGTACAGCAAGTACATCATGAGCTTGACTGGATCCAGTTTCATCTGCGACTTGTGCCCAGGTTCCCCGCTCTAGCTTCCATCATTTGGGCACGTAATAAAAGCTGCTATACCTGCTCTAACCTTCACAGCAGGGTGTCCGACCTGTGAATCAGTTGTACTGGTTGGACCGTCTGATTGTACCTGGACCTGCAAAACGTCAGTTTGCAAGAGATGCCAAATGACCCCCCTTTTTTCCCATTCAAAACGATGCCAGTCTTCCCCTTCCCTGCGAACTTCTCGGTGGCTCACATCTGGGTTCGCCCCCTGCCACACCTGCCACCTCAACCATCATCTCAGACCGACTCAGTGCGATCGTCACTGCCTCACCTTGTCTTTGATGGACTGGCAAGCTGCGTTCGCCTCATGCCTGCGGTGAGTTTCCACCGGTGCGGATGGGGCCCAGCTGGCAGCCAGGTGCGAACTTGCAGGCTTCACCCCTCAGGACGGCTTCCCGCCCAGAAACTGCCAGGGAAATGGACCACCAGTTGGCATCTGATACATCACTTGAGGCCAGAGGGGGTGAACGAAAGCTAGCCGGGCTTCCGGTGGTCTGCTGCTGGTGCTGCTGCTGCTGGTGCTGCTGCTGCTCTGCAGGCGCCGGGTCGTCTGCTGCTGCTGCTGCTGCTGGCGCTGGGTGGTCTGCTGCGGCTGCTGCTGCCGCGGCGTTGGGTATGCTGCTGCCGCTGCTGCTGCCGCCGCTGGGTGGTCTGCTGCTGCTGCTGGTGCTGCTGCTGCTGCTGCTGCCGCTGCTGCCGCTGCTGCGCTGGGCGCTGCAGATGCTTGGTGTGCTGCAGCTGCTTGGTGGTCCCGCTCACCGCGCGCAGGGGGGAGTCGAACCGCGGGGGGGGGGGGGTCCATAAGATTGATTTAATCAATTATTTGAGGTTTCTGAGGTGCGTCCACCCCGTCACTTAACTTGCTAAAGCAAGAGCAACTCCAGCTAGCTAAGGCTAGCTTTCGTGACTTGGAAGATGCCATGCCCAAGCACCGACCAGTGTGCCAAAGGTTGGGTAGTTGGATGGTACGAAAGTAAAAACATCGAAACACGCAGGCTGGAGGTGTTCACACTGGTGTTCACCTACCAAAGCCACTGTTAGATAGTGAAACCATGCGAACACCAGCTTTTGGATCTTCAATGCTGTTGAGCGGGTTGCTGCCAAAAAGTACCAGCTGGGCCGATTCCAGCATCCCACTGGACAAGTGGCAGGTAGGGCAAGGCCTCCTGTAGCTCCCGATTGGCTTCCTCGGCGCGATGTGAAACCCAGAAGGCCAACCGGACATGGTGACCTACTCACATGGTGCGATGAGAAAACCGCGATAAGGCGATATACTTAAATATACATTGTTTGGCCCGGGAGGCTTGGCTATTTACGTGCCCCCTTGTAAGAGATGGGGCTTCCTTTAATCAACTGTATGTCGATGTTCCACGCGTTATAACGCGCGAGCATCCGTTTCACCCTCTAGCGGGGCGATGACGACGCACCTCAGCCCATCAATTACGGCTGTGTTGTCAAAAGCCGGCCTGACATCCTTAAAGTCTAAGATACGATATCTTTCCTCCCTTCGAGGTGGTGACTAGGTGGGGGCCCAATTGGAGATTCCTTGGCAGGTGGTACCTGAACCTACTGTCGTCAGAGTAAATTCATGGTAAAATCAATGCCTTCTGAAGAGTTATCAAACCTATATGAGCAATGGGAACGTGCTCTTCCCAAATTTATTCCAGTGTCTTCCGGCGGTTCAGCCTCATGGCTTTGAGGATGCAGGAGGAGGTAATTATGTGTGTCCTTCCTTAAATAACGGCATACTGAATAACAGAAGTCCCACGCACATCGCGCGCGATTTACAAACACCAAACCCTGCAGCAATCGCCCCCTCCCACCCACCGTTCCTTTTCTGTTCGTCAGACAGCCCAATTGGTCTGATCTTCCTACGCAACCCACGCAGAAAGAACCCATGATTGTTCTGTCTGAATCGCGTGGCTTCACACGAGTTCTCAGTGCCACCGACCCCGCAGCTCCGCCAGACCGCCCGCGCCGCGGACCGCAGCTCTGCGCCGGCCCGAGCGTCTTGGCGATCCGCGTCGATGGCCATGGCATTGTCCTCGCAGGTCTTGGCGATGCTGCCCACCTGCGGCTCGGAACCGCTCGACCGGTCGAGGCCGCAGGACCCGGAGGTGCCGAGCAGTGAGGAGTGAGGAGTGAGGTGGCTTGGTTCCCCTAAGCCATGGGGAGCTGTTGAGGGACGTGGGTGAGACATCTGAGGTCAAAACGACTGAGGGCAATGATTTCCAGATGTATACCCTACAAATGTCGGGCCCCATCTTCAGTCTTTGTGGTATCTCTTTTTCTGCCCAATCTGCCCTCGAAGCCATCTTCTGCCCTCACCTCTTCAGCTTTTTCCTCCGCGTTCTGCTTCTCTCCGTGGACCTTCTTCACCTCACCGGGGTGTGTCGCTTCGGTGTCGCGACACCGGACCGTGTCGCGTCGTGAAGAAGGTGGGAGCGAAGGATATAGTGGATTGAGATCCATAGGGATCCAGTCGTACCGAACCTCACAAGGTACGACTGGACCCGACGTTTTGGCACCTACATAACAGTGTCGAACACATCACCTTCTGAGAAGGTACGACTGGATCCCTAGGGATAGATTTTGATGGCTGGATTGAGAGTAGACTGGCACAAGAGATCCCAAGTGACACAGGTGGTGTCACAGTGGACCTGCATCTCAAACACGTCTTGGGGTTTGGATGGGTTCATTTGGGTAAGGAATCAAAAACATAAAAAGGGAATCAAACAAATATTTGCGTTGTGCCTGTTTTGCCTTGCCAAGCTTCGTGAGATAGGAGTTGTGGACCAAAAATTGGTCAAAAAGGACTTTTCTTCATCAAATAGGACATCGATTTTTGGCGAACATCCGACAATCCTAAGTCACAACTCCTAAGTCCGACGAATCCTAAGTGTCATCTATATACTCTGAAACCACTGTAACGACATGTAACGACTATATCTCATCTTCTCCGACCAGGGGCCCAGTGGAGGCTGGTGAGGTCGCAGGCCTTCCCTTCTAAAGTATAATAGATCATTGTGTCATCTGCTGACGGTGAGTGGTTGGACACACCATGGATCGAAGCAACGCAACATCAGGTGTCGGAAGCAAAAACAAAACCAACCACAACCTGTTTAGGGATATGGAGTGGCCTAGTATGGCCCCTCCATATCATGAGATAGGCTCCTGACATTGATCGGCCCGAAAGCCATCCATGGAAGGCCTGGCGTGCAGCACTGCCAGGCCTTCCTAGGATGATCTGGCCCGGCCCATCCTTGTCAGGTGAGCATGGCGGCCGGGACGCGGGCCCACCAAACTCGTTTGGGCCCTCAACGATTGGGACAGGACGGCAACTGTCGCAGGCGAGCGGAAATCCGAACCGTACAAAAGCGAGAAAGCGAAGCCAAGGAACCAGTGCAGTGACCTTATCCGTTTCCATCTTCAAGACTTTCTCCTGGTGAAAGTGGACAATGACCGACTCAGCACTTGAGCTGTGAAGCATCGAACCACACATATGCCACACATGGTTAACCACCGACTTGCCTTGTTCAGCCCAAAACTCCGCCCACTTCCCACACGTCGGCATACGGTCGTCTTCGCGAAAGACGCGTAAAGACGCCGTTCACCACCGGGGTCGACCTGTTGGTGTACCCGCCGGGCCGGGGGGTGGTTTGCTGCTGCAGATGATATAATATATATATGCCCGCTGCAAATCAATGCACACCTAAAATTCAAGGGTGGAACTACATATGGAACCCCATATCCAACAAACGTCTGACCAATAGTTCTATATGTGCACCAATAACAATATGTACTTACTGATAATATCATATCTATGTATATATATATATACAAACCTATCCGCAAACTAACATGGAGCCTGAGAATTGACCCAGTGGAAGACCATCTTCCTCTACACCCCGACGTGGTTTCCGGGATTCCATGCGGTCCAGTCAGTAATTACAGCACAAAACCATGCTAAACGTGGGCTCTTTGTGGGCCCTTTGTGGCTCCGGCACCGGCAGCCAGCATGCCCCATCTCCAGCTCCATGTGTCTTCCGACCGCATCTCCAGGCCGTCCTGGCGTTCGATGTCATCCTGCATGTCCAGCACGCTCTTCGCTGCCTCCTCGAGCTTGCGAAGCCCAATGTTCACCTCAGAGGGCGGCTATCCAAAGAGCTCCAAAAAAGGAAAAGATCTCCGGTGATGCAGTCTTTGTGACATCGATGTGGGACATTGGGCTCCAAGACCCAAATGACTATGGAAGGGGAAATGGCACGAGATCGGTCAAAGATCCTGGAAAACTTTGTTTTTCAACAGTGTGCACCATCTTTTAAATCTGCAGGCATGCCATGAAACTGTTTGGAAATCTTAGTGGCACAAATCCATCACTTCCCGGTGCCCGTTCTGCACAGCAAACGTTACGGCCGTTGTCCAATCTGCCCTTGCCACATGCCTGTGAGCTCCATGCAAGCATCAAGGCGGTTGCCCCATGTCCGGAGTTCGTTTACCGCATTCTTGTCAGCTCCAAAAGTAACAATTGGACCACTTCCCAGTGGCCATTCCTAGCCGCAAGCATCAAAGCGGTTGCCCCATCTGTCCCTGCCACATTCGTTTCAAAATCAGCTTCGAGCAACAACCGAACCACTTCCAAGTGGCCATTCCTAGCCGCAAGCATCAAAGCGGCTGCCCCACCTGTCCCCTGCCACATTCGTTTCAGCATCAGCTTCGAGCAACAACCGCACCACTTCCAAGTGGCCATTCCTAACCGCAAGCATCAAAGCGGTTGCCACATCTCCAGTTGCAAAATTCTTGTCAGCTGCAGCCCCGAGCAACAACCGCACCACTTCCAAGTGGCCTTTCTGAGCTGCACCCATCAAAGCAGTTGCCCCACCTCCAGTTGCAGCATTCTTGTCAGCTCCAGCCTCGAGCAACAACCGCACCACTTCCAAGTGGCCATTGTGAGCTGCACCCATCAAAGGGGTTGTCCCATCTGTCTTTACCGCATTCTTGTCATTATCAGCTTCGGGCAACAAGCGCACCACTTCGATCTGGCCATTCCTATGTCAATATGGCATATATATAATATATATATATATACACCTACGATGGGGTGGTTTCAGGAGTATGCCACATAAAAATCATACATCTCCTGACCCCTCCCTCATAGACATATTCACCTACATTAGGCGATAGAGGCTATAGACAAATCACAAGTATGCACCTCAATGAGGATCAATCCCATGAAGTGTCAAGGGACCTGGCCCGCTCGCTGCATGTCTCAGACTGAGCTGTCTCCACACCACCACTGTGTTCAGTGAAAACTGCTGCAGGACGCAGCAGAAGGCAACTGGTGTTGGGAAAAGTGGTGGCAAACGAAGCTCTATAGGCCTTTATAATCTTTATATATAGGTATTCCCTAGGGATCCAAGTACCTTCTCACAAGGCACTTGGATCCTCCAAACCTACATAACAGTGTCTCCAATCACGTTCTGAGAAGGTACTTGGATCCCTAGGGATTGTTCATGTTGCTGCGTTGCCAGGGTGCATCCCAAAATATCAAAACTCATGCACGTACACAGTACACAAGCACAACAAAGGATCTTCCGGAGTCCCACTCATTATAATCATTTGCTTCACAACACTCACCTTGTGGCATCGCGCCCTCCGCGCATGGGGTCGTCGTGGCGCCGGGTGGCGCTCTTCTCTTGTACATTGACGTCCTCATACTTCGATGCGTAGAGCTTCTTGTAGTACCTCCCGGGGGGGACAGGACAGCACAGCCTGGACAGGCCGGACACCGAAAGAGATGAAGCTTTAGGGACTCGACCCGGAAGCTGGAATTCATGGATGGGAAGAACATGGCCAGCCCGTCAGGGGCGGGGTTTTGGGATCACCCTGCAGCCCAAGGAGCTCAATGAAGCACAAGAAGCTCTTGGGCGTGACATAGACGTGCTTCCGCATGCGCGAGAGGTAGACCTTGGACACGTCACTGATGCGATTCTGAAAGGAGGCCATGAGTTCGTAGAGGCGATTGCGGTTCTCCTCGGTGGTGTCGATCTTGAAGTTCTTCAGGAAGTTCGCACTGACCTGAATCAGAAAGCCCCTGAACAGTTGGTCAACTTTCTGGCTTTCTTTGGAGGTGGTAAGCCCACAAAAGCAGGACTGAAATCTGTATCAGGTCCCAACAATCATCAAGCGCCGTTGCATAATATATACAATATACAGTTATACAGTATATTATACATATATATATATGTTTAAATGTATGTACCCGTCTCAGTCTCACTTGCTTTCCCTGTTAAAGTTCGCTGAAAACATGTCCCCATAGTCCCTAGTCATCCGGTTTACCATCAAGTGCATTGGACCCAGGGATTCGCCTGGTCAAGCAGGTTATTTCGGTATATACCAGGTGCCCCGAGTGACCTCTATTCTGGATCACCAACCACCCACAATAGGGTCTTTAGCCTATCAAAACAAGGGTCAAATGGGCTATATATATATACATACAATATACAGAGTAATATACAGTACTGTACTGTATACATAAATGTTTTGAGTGCATATAAGAGCCTTACAAGTGTATTGACTGACAAAAAGCCACCCAAATGGAGATGCAAAGGGTGGAAATCACCAAAACAATCTGCGACTTGTTGGTACATGAGCGACGGCCACTAAGGCTTCTTCCGGCCAGGGCAAGAACCAGTTGATATTCACGCCCGAGAACACGGCAGGGAACATCTGCGCGCGGATCGCGAACTTGTGATGGAGAGGTGAGAAGAAAAGGACAATGTGCAAGTTGTCTCGGAGCCGGTTGAGGAAGTAGTTGTAGAGATTGGTGGTGTTTTCCTCTTGCCCAGGATAATCGGAAGCGAAGTCATTCCTCACCTCATTGCACACCGCCTCCTTCTCATCCTTCTGGAGTAAACCCACCACTTCCCCTGTGGCCAAGATGGAGTTCATGATCTCAAGGAAGTTCTCATTGATTACATCCTGGGGCTGAACTGGACCAGTATACAGGTGCAACGGGGCTGATCTATGGGTTCCTCACATGTATCAACTGGAACTGGAGTCATGTCCCTGCATGACTCCGGATTGGTGAGTGCCGTGCGAAGAAAAGAAAGAAAAATTAACAACACCAGCAGTTCCAAAGGGGTGCCCACCACGGAGGCGCCGCCCAGTGAGGGTCTATCTATGACACCCCGATTTGGAACTCCTAGTAGAACGCTCCGGGCATCTTGGTCCGTGAAAATAAAGGTCACATCCTCATCCTTCTGTCCAGCGATGATAAACCTTGGCAGCGGCTCTTTCAGCGCCCGAACGGGACGGAGACCGAACGCCCTGTCGAAGAAGAGACTGGAAGACGATCGAACGGCCAAGGAAAACAGGACGACTCTGAATCCACCGTTTTTTGGTGCCAAATGTCTGAAGCCAGCTGTTGTCTAATCATTATCCGTATATGTATACATATATATATATATATCATTATCAGTGATTTTAACATCATTATCCAATATTAAGATATATATAATATCTACATCATGATCAGTATATATGTATATACACGACTATAGAGGAATGTGACAATTATTATTAATAAACTACAGACAAAGACCATGCCAGTTTTTTGGAGTAACAGCTCCTTCAAGTCTTCCAAGAACTGGACCTCTCCATAGGTCTTGGTGATGGTGATTTGGAAAATGTGGTGCCCCGAGATGAACGCGGCCAGTCGAGTCAAGGACTGCTTGCCACTGCCGCCCACGCCCACCAGCATGGCGCTGCCCCGCTTCTGCTGAATGGTGCGGTTGATGCGCATCAAATGCATCAAGGCATCTTCGAAAAGCACCAAATTCATGTTCTTGGCAGGGTTCTTCTCGTTGAACCTGGCCAAATACCTCAGACTATAGGCACTGGAGGTCTGGAGGTTGGCCTCTGTTTGAAGGTGGATGTTCCATGCTTAACAGCCAGGTCTTGTACCTTCCCCCCTTGACCGCACGTAGGCTTTTCCAAGCTGCTCGTAGGCCTTTCGGCACACATCGGCCAGGGATGACACCGGCCTGAGTGGCTGGATCACAAAAGAGCCGAAATCCCTCCCTAGGGATCCAAGTACCTTCTCAGAATGTGATTGGAGACACTGTTATGTAGGTGCCAGGAGGGTCCAAGTACCTTGTGAGAAGGTACTTGGATCCCTAGGGCCTGAGGATGGAGGACCCTGCTTTTATATAGGTCTCCTTCTCCTGCGCTGCCACTCGTCGAGAAAGGGGTGGAGAAACAGGGCATTCATTTCAGGTCAAGGACTGTAACCCAAACAAGCACGACCATGACCTGCAGGAAAAAATTGTTTTTCGGCTCAGCAGGGGTCACTCAGGTCTTCGATCCCCCCATATCTCTCAAACAGTCCTTCGATCGATCCCCTCTCTGTCCCAGTGGTACCTGGGAGGTACCTAGCTCCTCTCAGGTCTGACTGCCTCTCACAACAACCCCCCCCTATCCATTTTATGAAAGGAACAGGAAACGAGTTCGGGGCGACTGGAGCCCTGTCATCAATCTATCTCTTGATCTTTGTCTCACACTACTAGAGTTACTAGAGTCCAAAGACATCCGAAGACCAGTCTCGGCCGCCCGAGAGATGGCGACACCTTGGGGTCCCCGGTCTGGATGGTCGGTTCTGCTGGGGCCGGTCTCCAAGGAGCTCGTAGATCTTCGGTGCCACTGGATCTTCCTCATCCTCTGTAGCTGGAGGCCGATCACGCTGGAAGTCGCACCACCAGGTGGTCGGACTCCTTGGGAACCAACCAAGAGTCAGGCGGAACGAATGGACTTAGGCGGACTTAAGGGCATGTTTCCTTGGGGGTTCCGTCCTGCTTATTATCTTTTTCATTGGTAACTGGACTCAGAGGTGGAGGACGGGCAGGAGGAGGATGCTGAGGAAATAGGGGCCTTTGACTCGAAGACAGATTCTGAGTCTAAGCCAGGCTTGAGAGTCCTGCAATGCCAATACAAGCACCGGCACTTCCTTTACACATGGACCATGGAGGACTCGAGGACCCCTCACCAGCCCGGGCCTCTCATCGCTCGCGCCATACCGGTGGCAGAAGCGACATCCTTCTTCTCCCCAAAGTGCCCGAGGAACTGATCCACAAAACGACATCATCAAAACATACATTTCCCTAGGGCTCCTGGCCCACCTCCGTTTCGAAGGTGGGCCAGGGGTGGGTGCGCGGGGGGGTCTAACCACCGAACCTGAGGATATGGGCCAGGAGCCCTAGGGTTTATGATATCCCAAACACTCCATGGGACTGCCATGTTTACATATACGACCCCTGAAACCATCCCAATGTATATCTAAATATATAGGCATATTAAGGCAGTCCCATGGAGTGTCTGTGTAATATATGGACTTCTGCAGTCCGGCACTCCCTTCTATCCGCTGGCGTCCTCGACCTCGGCAATGATATACCATCGAAAACGCGGCACTTTGACCCACTGGATCCCAGTTGCTTGAGGCTCAAAGGGTTGGACGTTCGTGGACCTCTACACCTCTGTATTGTTATAGTACGTCAATTTAGGATAGAAGATATTAAAACATATTTTCAAATAGAAGTCTGCATATTCCTCCCGTGGCAGGGTTCCGGGACAAATAGAAGAAAGGCGTCAAGATAACAGGTTGATAAACGTGCTCACCAACAGGTCTTCAAATAGAAGAAATAGTATTTTTGGCACAAAATGCACATGAGCCGCCCGCTCTCTTTCCCTTGCGCTCTCACTCTTTCTCGCTCTCTCCCTCCCTCCCTCCCTGGAGAAGAGAAAGTTCTGCAAGGAAGCTCCCGGTGAACCAGCTCACAGCGCCGGGCCGAGCGATGGACCCGTTAAGGGGAATAGACACAGAGAGCGCAGCCCTCCAAAAAGGTAAAAAACATGCGTTAAAATTGTCGCGTCTTTTTTGAGCTCAGAGACGTCACCGGGTCGCATCCCGACCCGACAGAGACCCGACAGAGACTTGTTTGAAGAAAAAATTGTAAAAATTGAGTACAATTTTGAGAAATTGAGGAGAAAAAGTGTAGAAAAAGACAAGTGGCCTGGAAGAGCCTTTTTTGAGGGTGAACCCAGGCCACTTGCTAAAGAACCCCAAAAGTGTAGAAAAAGTAGCTAGTTATTTTTTAAAGTGTAGAAAAAAAGTGTAAAAAGTAGCCAGTTCCTGTCTCCTTTCTCCTTTCGGCCTGGAAGACCAGGGCCTTCCCTTCCCTTTCCACCTGTCCTTCCTTCTCTTTACCTTTACTTTCCTTTCCTTTACCTCCTTCCCCCTTCTTAGATTCTCCCTTCCCTTCTGCTTCTCCCCCTGCCTTCCTCCTTCCCCCTTTCCCCACCCTTTCTCCTTTCCCTTCCCTTCTCTTCTTTGCATTTTTTGTATCTTCTATTTGAAGTGGCTCGGGCCTGGAGGACCAGGACCGTCCCCTTCCCTTTCCACCTTTCCTTCCTTCTCTATACCTTTACCTTCCTTTCCTTTACCTCCTTCCCCCTCCCCTTCTCAAATTCTCCCTTCCCTTCTGCTTCTTTCCTCCTGCCTTCCTCCTTCCCCCTTTCCCCACCCTTTCTCCTTTCCCTTCCCTTCTCTTCTTTGCATTTTTTGTATCTTCTATTTGAAGTGGCTCGGGCCTGGAAGACCAGGTCCTTCCCCTTCCCTTTCCACCTTTCCTTCCTTCTCTTTACCTTTACC